TGGAGGTATGTCATCGGAATCCAGCTTGGATAAAGGTTTAGCTGACTTAGCTGTACAGTAATCTAACCTTTTCCAACTTAGAATCTATTATTTTAACGACCCGATGATGAACTCATCGAAAACAATTGTTTGTCGAAAGTTTTCCGCGCATTTTCCTCTTTGGGATTCACAGAAATGGGCATCTTACACGAATTGAAACGTAACAAATGCGCCCAGACGTTTAAAATACTTAATCAGTATATTAAGTTCTGCGTCAAATTTACTGAAGCGGAGGCATCTATTGAGTTCCACCGTGGTTGCATTGAAACGAACGGTTTTCCAAAGATGGAAAGGCGCTACGAAGACATCATATCCGACCCACGAAAACTACTTCGAAACGCCACACTCTTAACGTTGTCGAGTCGGCTACAACTAAGCACAATGAGACCAGGAGGCATATCGCACAACGAGAACCTGTATTAGACCATCTTTGCGATGATGTGCGTGTCCAGTTCCTCACGTATGTAAGAAATATAACATCCCAGCGAATATATAAGAAAAGATGCATGATGCAGAAGGGTCTGAACAGAACAAATTGTCCTTCCAATTTTCCCACAAATCCTGAACTCTACATACACAAATTGTCCGGTGCGCAATTAAACAAACTGCAACTACAAGCACTTTCACTGGGCCCAAAGTTTTGTCACCCACAGAAGGACAATCGACTGACAATCGAGACGAGCGATTTGGTGGCGACTATCATCTCTAACCTGGAACAATTTAAATTAACTTTGACCAACATCTCCTTACAATATCTGAGGTGCCCTATACATCACCACCAATTGTTGACAAAGGCACACACTGATGCTGTGAGAGAACTCCAACAAAGGGAAGACATTCTCATAACCAAGCCAGATAAAGGATCAAGAACCGTAGTCATGAATCGCAATGAATATTAAGAAAAATGAAAATGTTCTTCTCTGATACGGTTCCTGAAATGTGGTCAAGTGAAAGACAAAACCGACTACATAGAAATGCAAATGACCAAGTCGTTAACGTTGCTAGTAAGTAACGGTTTCATAACAAAAGAAACGTGAAACACTTCGACTCACAGGCTCTCTTATTCCACGCCTTTATGGCCTCCCTAAGATACACAAACCGGGCATACCGCTAAGACCAATACTAGGCATGAGGAGTTCGCCATACCATAGCATTGCAAGATGGCTGACAAAAAAATCCTAGAACCTATTTAGGCGGATGGTAGTCACGTATTACCTAACGGACACGTTTCAGTTTGTCGAAGTAGTCCGGAACATAAATATCCGTGACTATCGGATCTTCTCCCTTGATGTTGTCTCGCTATTTACCAATGTGCCTCTGTTAGAAACGGTCTATTTTCCTTGCAATTACATTGACCAGCAAGGAATGAACCTTGGCTTACCAACTTGTCACTTGAAGCAACTTCTTTTCAGATGCACCTATAATGTCCAGTTTCAATTTAACAATGAGCTGTATAAGCAAATCGATGGTGTTGCAATGGGATCCCTACTAGGACCACTATTGGCGGACGTCTATCGGGGAGTACTCCAGCGTGGCCCACTAAAAACGGTCATTTCAGACTTGAAATTCTACCAGCGTTATGTGGACGACATATATTATGTGACCAAACAACCAAATTACAACATGTCGTTGAATATTTCAACAGAGAGCATCCAAAAGCAAGCATTTACAATTGAAGAAGAAAAAAACAATCAGATGAATTTCCTTAATTCAAAACTAACTAGAAGAGTGGATGAATCAATCCAGATAAATGTGTACAGGAAACCATACTTGACCGGTCAATGCACGAATTTTCACAGCTTTATCCCACTCAGCAGCAAAAGCCCGCTAATACACACCCTAACGAACCGCGCATATAGCGTCTGTAGCGGGGACACTATCGAGGACGACCTGCGGCGGATCAAATAAGTGTTTCTCGAGAATAGATATCCTGAGCGCTTCATTGACACCCATATGAAGCACAATAGTACCAAACCTAAGACGCAAACGGTCAAAAAGAAACGACTGTTATTGACACTTCCTTTCGAGGGCGACAGCGCAGCAGAGATCTATAGACGCATGGTGATACAAAGCTGCAGAAAGACTTTTAACGCAGCTGCTCTAAATGTGATTTATACGAGCCAACCCTTATTTGTTCCGAGATTCAAAGACCAAGTGCCTGGTCGTCTCCACTCAATGATAATTTATCGGTTTACCTGTCCCTGTGCGTTTAGGTACATTGGACGAACGACCAGACACTTAGGTAAAAGAATCAAAGAACATCTTCCGAATTGGCTCACTAACCAGACAAACAGAACCAGCTGCAGTTCAATAACAAACCATCTAATAGACACGGGACACCAGATTGACATACAAACCGCTTTTGACGTCGTGTACAAGGTACCATCACCCCCGAACTACAGAATAAGGGATCGTCTGCTCGCTACCGCGAAGGCGGTATGCATAAGACTGATGAATCCAGACTTAGCATCTAGTAGATGGTTCAATCGCTACAACTGCCTTGGCCAGCCAGTTACGAAAGGAGGGGATTACATCCCAGCACTTATATGATATCCGTGACCTATTCGCTTAACCAATGTCGGTAAACCACTGAATCGTTTAATCAATTGTTCTGCTGTACAGTAATCTAACCTTTTCCAACTTAGCATCTATTATTGTAACGACCTGATGATGGACTAGTCGAAAATAATTGTTTGTCGAATGTTTACCGCTCATTTTTGGATTCAAAGTAATAGGCATCTTACATTAAATTGGATTTACTAGCCTGTTGGATATTGCTAAGGAAAATGTCAACCGTGCTGCTGTTATAGCTTCACTCATGATTTATACAGGTTGCGGGAAAGTAGCTAAATGCTTTAAAGATGACAGCCGAATCGTGGATTAAGAGGAAATCTCCGTCGCTTTGTGGTGTGATCCAAGCACTCTGCTTGTTGATTCCGCAACGCTTTACATGCCTTTTATAAGGCCATCTACCTTTTCTTTTTTCTCATTACCTGCTCCCGTTTAACTCTAGCAATGAATTTCTTCATTTCTGAGGCCAGTGCGGAATTCCTTGTTTCTCTAGGTCTCGCAAGCAATCTTCTGACCTACTAGCTGATTGGTCGTCCGGTTGCACCTTCTGAACCATAAGCGATACCTACGGCTTGTCGAACAGGGCTTGCTATAAAGCGATGGATCTGATAGTGGAACTGCTTAACTGCAGTGCATCCCTATACGAAGATCGGACTACCTGTCGAAAATATGCCGTTTGCCCTGTGAATCGCATAGTTGGATATCAAAGCGCGTTTAGTGGCCAATTTGATGTGGAAGATGGACCGTATCATTTGTTGCTCTCTGTTAGGTAGTTTGTGTTTGTTATCAGTTTTCGCATTGGGAATCTCTTAGGTAACTATTAAGTCTAGTGCACAGAAACAGTAGCTTATGAGCATGTTGTAATACAGTCCATGGTTTTGTATTGCTCACGTTCAACTGTCATACCACGATGATTATGACGCGATGACTCTTCCTTATCCTCTGATCTTCATGGCTTTCTGTTGGCTCTTTGTCTAGTTGATAGACTGCTCACATTACTACTACTACTACCGGGCGGTCGAGAAGACACCTACTGCGTATATCCCACAGTTTAGCAACGTACGTTTTGCTTCTTTACCAGATGTTGGGTCGCGTAGGTTTCATTAGTGCACACCCATCGGCATGGGAATTGCGGTTTCTGTTCACTCAAAAGGTCTGTTTTGTTGGAGTGCACACAACTTATCTTACGTGTTTACAACCAGTGGCTCACAACCGGTACCAGTGATGGTTTTGATGTTATGCTCTGCCTGTACTGAATGCTTACTGTCCATGATGTGCTATCTATGGAGCGAGGTGGATTACAACACTGCCTTACCGGTGCCACTTTGCTCTCCCAAAATGGTAATGCGATGTGTGTGTGGGCGCTTTGATTCTGAACGTCTGGTTGGAGCTGCTTAGTTCTATACTGTCTATCCTGATCAAATTCTTTATTTGCAGCATGTTTCGGACTAGGTTAACGGGTGGTATCGCGCTCTCTGAGAAGCCGTGGACTGCCTTTTATTGTTTTGTTCTCTTGTTACCATGACTTAACTACTCTATTATTTCCATGACTTCTGATGGCTCCATGTATATTCATCTGACTTTTGCTCTTGCCGCTGTTGATGATGGCGCTGATTGTGCAGAGCTCCACCCTAAGCAAATTAGCTCTATGCCCCCAGACTCCTCTCTCTCAGGACTGAGCTTTGAGGGAATAGGAAGTCAAAATATCCCCATTTTCCATTGAGTTATTTGACGAGGCTAAATTTGTTAGACCTGTCACGGATTTTTCTGGCACTGGTAGCTCGGTTGCGTTTGAGCAGTATCAACAAACATATCTCAAGAGCTCACGCAGGCACACAAACAGTCACATTGCGTTAAAATCTGGCCTCATCGCGAGTTTACCATGCTGCCGTCAGTACAATCTTACTGTACGATTGCGAAGCCTTGCCCATCAGATCGACAGACATAAAGACGATAGTTGGGTTCGGCCACCGGTGCATTCGAAGGTTGGCTCATACCTGGTGGAAACGTTGCACAAGCCATGATCCTGTTCGGCATCTTGTTTGTGGCGTAGAAAAAGCAAATGAACCGCACAACACCGTCATTTCACACACCACGTCTTGATAGCTGGGCCACGTGTTACGCATGCTAACACACCGACTCCCGTAGGGCATATTGTTTGTGCGATCTGGATCTAGATGGAAAGAAAAGACTGGAAACCAGTTAGTGACTTGATCAAGAAGAATTAAGGCTCTCAGTCCGACCTTAGCCTTGCTCGTTTAACTGAACTGTCTTTCGGAACTTTGACTGGTCTATGCATATTTCTCGAGCTCACTGTTTGCATACCACAAACATCTGACCATGAGTACCGTTTACCTTAAATTCCTGTTCTTTATTATGCTACTTTTCAGATTTCAGCACCTCCTTTGGATGCCGATTCGAACCATCCGCACCTCGATGTCCCAACAGACAGTGATGCCATGAATCGTATGAGACAGCGTGACGCCTGGTTGCCTTCCGAATCCACTCTCCGAGCACTTTCAAATGCGAGGTCATCTGAAAACGTCCATCACCCAGAAATCAAGCCGTTTTTGTCGCAACCCGAGTTAGAGAGTTCTGCCGAGGGCAGCATCCTTACTGATCCGTATCGAGCGCTATTGCTCTGCCATTTGAAAGATGCGGCGGCGGTTGACCTCATTCGTCGGATTCCAAATCCGTCGGATCACAGTACGGGAAACATCGAATCGCTCAAAGAACTTGTTGTATGTTTTTGCTTTGTCCCATTGCCTGTTTTTCCCACTTATCTCGGTGTACTCAAGCTGACTTTTCTATCAAAATGTAATGCCCTGTATATCTATGAAAGGTCTCATGTATTCGCCAACTCCCTGAGCGATTCCGCACTTCACAGAAGTTTCACGACTAGGTTTGACCGGTTGTACTAACGTTTTGATGGTGTAATGAGCTGTGCTAATTATAATACATATATAGAGCTAGATATTGTTTCCCCAATTTCTTCCAGGCTAACGGATGGTATCGCCCAGCTTTGGATCTGACCCGCCGGCTACTCACAGACGCGGGTTTCGTGGAGGAACAGGGTGGAGCGACCTTGACTCCGCTCACAGCTCAAGTAAGCGGTATCTGTTTGTTCTTGAAAGTACTCTCTTGAGACCTGCCATTTTTCTGTATATGAACCGTACAGTACAAAATCCGACAAATTGAGCTCCATTTACTTTCGGCAAATCAGTCGGCGCCTGAATTCTTAGTGGGACCAGACTATCGTACCTCGGATGCTGATCAGCACAGTCGATGTGTTTCCTAACCACGTATGTGTTTAAAGCCGTCATTTGTGACCTTTGGTTTCTGTCTACATCGATATCAAGTCTCGATTCGCTGGCTACCCTTGCGCTGTACCTCCATCTCCTGGACACTGACGTCATTCCATTTTTCTCACAAAAATCGCTAGGCACTCAGCCGTAGACCGCGTGTGATGTTGTCTGTAAGTTTGTCTTCTTACGGTGGCGAAACGGGACCCCTAGTCCATGTCCTAAACAAGTGAGACCTAACATCTATCCCATATTCCAGTTTATCTAACCCCACCTGAATGTTCAGTTGAAGCGGATATCCAGTCCACTGAACACTCGTTCGGTGACATAGTGTGCCATAATCGATATCACATTGTAGCTTTGGTCTCTTCGCTCCTTACGCACACATTTACATTCGATGCAGATTGCTCCTCTCCTATTCTTCAGATTTGGCTTACTCGACTGGCTCTTTTGGTTCGCACGCGCAACTACGACCTAGCAGAACGGGAACTGGCTTCGTTTCAGACATTGGATGCCCCTAATGTGTATTTCGAACATGCACCTGAATTGTATCCCAATCGAGCAGGTAAGCTAAACCCTTGTGTTCCCCACATCAGCTGATCACTGTTGCACCTAAGGTCAGCATCTATTAATTTATGCCATCTGCACTTGCACAGATATCATCGTTTCGACCTCTTTTAGTCTATCTTGCTCACACAAAGAATGCTGATAAACGAATTCAATGCCGCACTCATCAACGTTGTTTCCAAACGGCTCGTAGTGTGTCTTCCCGGAACCGCCCTCACTAATCCCTGTGTGGTTGTGAATGTGGAGTCCCCTTTGTTACTCTGTGGTTGTCTACTTTTTCTTTTTTCTTTTCACTCGGTGATCTTCGATTCTTTATTTTGCCTCCTATAGCATTTTCCATAACTCGTGCTGCCGCGATATCGCATTTCATGCTTCGGTACGGGGACTACAGCTGTTGAGGGGACGTAACAAAACCGGATAGTGCTGAAGCTCCGGAGCATGGCTCCATGTTTAGGGGGCATCCGGTAATTTGCCGCAGGGATCAGGTGCAGCTGGGTGTTACAAAAAACATTATTTAAAGTCCACCTGTTTCATTAGCTCAGCTGACGAAAAGGGGATGTGCAGGTGGACGATGAGCTCAGTTTAGCTAACTGTGCTTCTGGATTCGAGGGGCGGAACCGTTGACTGTTTTCCGTATGTGCGCCTCTCCACTAACAGTTAACAAATGGTTGTGTAATCGGGGGAACCATTCTGATTCCGATTATATATGGTTGGCGGCATCCGGTTTCGGATTTGCCTGTCACTGTGGCAAGCCACCGGACGCCTGCGCCTGCAGAGGGACCATGGGTGGCTTGCGCTGCACCACCCACAGCTCCAACTACACACCCCATATCCAGTGTAAAGCCGAAGGAATAAGACCGGGAGGCATGTGGATGGGAGCCACGTTTCATCAACGGAGCCGGCCCACACTCCTTCACAGGCAAACACAAGCACGCTGTATTTGGAGAATCAACCGCACACAAGGCGGTGGCTGGACCGTAGTCCGCTCCACACTGAGTGCATGGAACCGCTCTTTGAGCCTAGCACGGCCACAAGAACCGTGCACCCCGTCCCCTCCAGCAACGACCAACTGTCTCCTGGAGCCATTATGAACGAGGTAGTGGGTAATAGACAGGTAGGCACCTTGTCAACATACACATCAAGCGCAGCCACATCGGGGATATCAAACAACAGCCATTCACTTTAAACGACAAGCTGAAATTAAATAAATCCAATAATGCATACAGATACGGTGGCATAACTCTGCGCTAAATTACCATTTCAAGTAAGTAGGTTAGCAACGAATCCGTGATAAGTAAGAAATGTCCACAAGTTACTTAAAAATGCTACAAACGCAACAAAATTACCGAAGATAAGCGCAATTAGCGTAAGCAACGTGGCCAGTTAATAGAACATTATTCAGGTAGGCAGAACAAACCAAATAAAATGGAATGAAATTTATCCAGTTTAAAAGACCTAGTTTAAGTGTAAGTTGGTTTAGCCCAACTGCGGTGAAGAAGCATCAAGAATGCAACAGCAGCCTCAGCATGGGGCACCCGATTATATATATATATATATATATATATATATATATATATATATATATATATATATATATATATATATATATATATATATATATATATATATATATCGCTCTGCGTCATTATCCGTGATTTTGTCCGCTTACCGATGTGATTTTTTGCAACTCGATTCACAGTTGATAAACTACATCAGCTTTTGCTGCCTATCCTCAGTGAGGACGGGCCGATCAGAAACCATCGGTTTTAAGAAATCTATCTTTCTTTTGAGTTATGGTTTCCTCACTATGGCAGCTATCATAGATGTTCTCGGGGTCGGTATATCATTTTGTGAAGCGGGTTGTCCGTGCTTCAGTTTTTCACCCATAAGAGCAGATATTAAGATTGGTCTTCGAACGGACTCGCTACTCTCATACATTTGTGTGGGGACTAACATTCAGCAGGTGCCCGTTTGGGACATGAATTAATCAATCTACTGTTCAACAAGTAAATCAATACCCTAGCCTAAAGCTAGACATGGTACATTAACCGAACAAAAGATGAAGGAACAGTGGTGAGAGTACATCTCACAGTGACTTAAGCAAAACGAAATCAACTAACAACTGGACAGCTAGGTAACACTAGCTACTGATCAATGGTATCAGCAAGGGCCGTACGCATTGTTTTTGTGGTATAATTCAAGTTGTATATAGCTTTCATAGGGTACAGCAAACGCCCTCAGACGCGTCTCACGGGAGTGTTTTCACTCAATACTTATTCGCGCGGGCTTACTTTCTATTTATGAAATGTGAATATTTGGATTTTTGAAGCTCAGCAGTGATCGCAACACATTAGAATTTTAGCATTTGCCAATCTGTTATCCCACTGTACTATCTCCCCCCCTCTAGGCTCCATCATTCCCTTTTCCCTACGTTTGTTACACGCTGAGCTACCCTTTCACTTGAGTCGTTCCGAAGAGGCCCTGAATCGTTTATACTATCTCCTTGCTATCATCGACCGTGTAAGTTTTTTCCGCTCTCTTACTTTATTCAACCAATGTATTTCCGTCGATGATAAACTATAGGTAACCCAAACTTTCTGACTCAATCTGACACAAAACTCCAACGACTCAGTAGCCAGGGGTAGAAGCTTCAGCTGACATCTAAAGGCCCTGAGTTCGCGTCACAGTCCTGCTGTCCCTACCTGACGTGTGCAAAGAAGTACGAACCCTGTCGTAGAGTTTTGTGTTGGGACTTGGAATCCCCTGACCTACAACTGCCCACGAGAGGTACTTTGCGTGTTCCCAGAAGGCAACTAGACTCTACAACCTGCAAATTAGTCGTGATTTACCTTGCCGGGTCTTTTTCATTCCCACAGCTATTACGGGTGACATTGAATCGTCGAACCCGACCTTCACTTCGCGATGGGAATTCTTGTCGACTGATCGGCACCACTTCGTTGAAAAGCGTCAAGATTCCACAGAAGGACCTATCGTTTCGCGTCTTAATTGATTATGTTGAAGTCACCCAGTCATTTCCTTTGACATTACTGTTAGCTTTGGCTGGCTTAAACCAACACCATCGTCTCTCGTCTGAGGTTAATCGGCAAAGCTTTTAGTTAATCTATATCGTTTTCTTTCAAGATTTCCTATGAAATAGGAGGAAAATCGCACTGTCCACGAGTTTCCGTGGCGTATGGCTGCTGCAACGGGTCGGTTGGTATCTAATCTATCCACCATGGTAGAGCGAGGCGCACCAACTGATCACGTTTTTATGAATGCTACAAATAGAGCTAGTAGACGTACGCCACTGATTCCTGCGTGTTTCCTTCATATTACAGCTGCACCATATGTTATTCGGGTGCGATACGCTCCTTGAATCTGAAACCCGCAAAGTGGGCGTCTTTGAGTTTCTTGAATTCCGATATCACGATCGTTACACTCTGTTGGGGCTCGTCACTGCTGCACTTCCCCTCGGTTCCCTGCTGCAGTCGAACCCATGGCCGCTAGCAACATACGCCAGCTAGTCAGCAGCTTATGCCAATGAGCCATGGGGACGAAGGTAGGTCGGTTGAACTTGCAAGCTAACGGATATAGCGCAACACATCCTTCACTGCCATGCAGATTCCTACCATTGCAAAGGAAAGTGCCGGACCTCCGATGTTACGAATTCCGCTACACAATAGCCATGTCCGCATGGCATTTGAAGACTGCGAGGGCGAATGTTTAGATTACTGATGAGTAGGAGGATTTTTGATGAAATTTTACTGATTCATCCTAGCTGCCACAAGCCAGATTAGTCTAATACCAACTGACCGGACTATCTCATACTCCCGTTTTTGTGATGACTCTAGGAGCTTTCGGTTACGAGGATCTCCGCTGAGAACAGTAGTGTTGCTTTGCCACCTCACATTTTTCTGAGTGGTATTCCCGTCCCTGTAGTCTTTCCCTTTTTTTCCTCACTGGTGGTTTTTGCTTCCAATAACGCGCTTTGCGCTCCGTATGTCCTATTTACCATTACTTCTTAGAAATCATAATTTGTCAAAGTACGCTTGCGCAGGGCCTCGCGCAAACGCTAATTAGCTGTTACCTGATGCGCAGTAATGGACCTGACGTTGGGCGATGAGCCACACCTTCCTAACTAAGTTCCTATTCACGTCTGGCCGACGTCCTTTGTGGCTCTGGAAGAAGGGACCTAATGGGGATTCATACTATTGATGAGCTTCGAGGGAGTAAAGTGGCCTTTCTAGGTTCCCTCGTACGCGAAATCGCCTTCTCACTGAGTTGGGAAATTAACTTGTTTAGCTATCTTCACTCTTTTAGAATTTGTAACTGCCCTGGGTCTTTACCACCACTTCAAACCGTCTGTTAGTCTGCGTTTGCGCGTTTCTATCGCTTAGCTCAGCTTCATTCGTCTTCTCCGCTGTTGACACTCTAGAAGTTGCTTTTGAATCGAGCCGGCCCCGTGGCCTAAAGTATCACAGGCCTGCTTTGTAATCCAGAGGTTGCGGTTTTCAGCCTGCGAAATTTTCTTAGCCCACGCGCGACTGTGGGTGATTGCATTGCAGCGAAGCGAAGCGTCTGCACGGTGTACCGGCGTACTGCTGATACCCTTTGAAACGAAGTTAAGTTGAAGTTTACTAATTTTTGAAGTGGTTGCTTCGCAATGGAAAGAAGCACAGGTGACCCACATTCCATTGCCTCATATCCGATGCCAGCCCCAATGGTTAAGGCCTGAGACACGTTGTCGTTTTTGACATCCGGTTATGCTCTGCGCTGTACTGGATACACTGCTTGACAAGGTGAAGAGCCGACCTTATTGGCGTTTAGGTTTGAGTTCCCCATGTAGCTTCCCCCTCCAACAACGATCTCACACCCAATGCATTGTCTGATATTTAGCATTATATTGCTTTTTTATTTTGCTAGTCTGTACTTTTTAACGCTTTGTATTTTGTATTGCGGCGCATTAGATGAGGTGTGTCTCCTATCCTCAGCTAGAGTGTATTCATAATAATGACCTACTCGAGTTACAGCAACACGATGTAACTGTGTGTGAAGCGCCACCATCATGTATCGCGTTCATGCACGCGGGAGACGCTTTTTCATTACAGTCTGAAGATAACGGCGAGTTCATACCAACTGTTTGCAAGTGGTCTCTGTTTCTTCCCAACCCCGTCGAGAATATACCGTTCCTATCGTCACAGCGCCTGGTGACTCGGATTGACGCCAGCCGAGCGTCGCGCACATGGACCCACGGGAATCATAACTCGCCTTACCTGACTGTGTGGACTATGCATCGTCAGCTACAGTGTCTGCAACTGTATCCTCCGTCGTGCACGGTCCATCCGTCCACTCCTAAAACGAAACCTTTACTTTAGCTCCCTTGTGTTCTAAAACAATTGGCTTAATGTCTTATTATTTTTACGGCGCCATGCTTCCTTGCTCTTTGGGACTCCGACCCTTGAAAATTATGCGTTTGTTCCTCTACTATTTAGGATAACCGCGCTTACTTAAGATAGTCAATAAACATAGCTACTTCCTCGTGGCTAATCCGAGGATCCAACCTACCTACACACCAACTGCTTGTCTATCCCATTCAGATTAAAACTAATTTGCAACGTGGCTACAATGAAGATGGGACCATCGCAAAACACGACCAGGAATACTGTAGTTGTAAGTGCCATTTGTTGCCCATGTATGCATCCAACCCACTGTTCTCACTATGCTCGCGTGCTGCGCTTGCCACTGACTATTTCTTCTCACGTGACCAATTTAACACGTCGCTTCCATTCTATTGGGACGAAGTTGCTATATGAACAAACGTACACGAGAACATTTCCTGTCTTTAACATGTTAACCAAGTGCATTTGATTTTGCAGCACCCGCTATGAGTTTGGATTGCGATACGCAATCTTGATCCGGGCCACGTTTCACATTGAAATAAACCCCGGCTATTACGACCACTGGTGGATGGTTGTCGGTATTTTCTCGCCCCCGGCACTGCGCTTCACGACTGGTTTCGTCTTGGTTAAACTCGTCAGGCGGAGATACATGAAGCTGGAAATGGAACTTTGGGCGTGGTGGCCGATGACAAACAGCCGCACTGCCGCTTCACAGATGTCATCGATCCAGTGCGATTTAGCTCATGAATAGTCCACCGGTCATCGAAAAGCAATGAGCAGGGTTGCCAAAGATCACCTTATGGCAACAACAATGCAAAAACACAAGACAAGATAGCGCGAACAGAAAAGAAATCAAATCCAAGAAAAACAAACATAGAGATCGGAACGCTTGAGTCCCCGAACCGGAGAAGCAGCAGCTGTAAGAGAGTAAATGTAAGAACACCATGAGCCGCTCAGATGGGACACTCAGCGAGATTTTCCAGAGTCCCCGATAGTCGGTCACTTTCCAGCTTCTTATTGGTGGCGATTCTTCGTCATTCCATCAATCGGTCATCCCGCCTGTGGCATTGTGTTTTACACGTCTCACTTGTCGGTTCGATTCTGCGACGTGCGAGCGACCTCACAAAATCACAGCCCACATGTAGCCATGAAGTCGTCAATGCGAAATTCTGGCGTATCGCTATTAACTTAATCTCGGCAAACAACACGCATATGTTTCAGCTGTCCATTTGTTCGCCGAGTTTAGCATAGATTTTTGGATTCGCCTGGTACGACTTTTCGCGACCAAGCTTCAGCCAAGTCTGCACTGCTAATATCGCTCCGATTGGTGACGAAACATCTACAACCAAACTACCGATCTCGGTGAACAAATGGACAACTGTATTGTCAACCCGAGCTACCGGTTTTTCAAATTATTTTGTATATGTATATGTGTGGGAAGAGATCACTTGAAGAAGTGGACCTAGTCGACAAAGAGATGTGCGCACTACCGACACAGTGACAGTAGCATTGTCTTCAATTAACAACTGATAGTCTGCAGTGCTATGCACTTGGTGGTCCTACTAGTTGTAGACAATATCCCATAGTCATCAGTGACCAACTATATGTACTTTCGTATAGTCTTCAACTTAGTGATCCCACCGCCCCAACCATACAATGATGGTTGCCAAATTACGGCATACCTTGCGCGTATTGTGTCTGAAGCTTGTTCCCGAACGTCAACACTGTAAAACTTTGGCATTCCTTCACTGCCACACCGTTTTCCTTCCTTTTGTGTTCAGCATCGTTGCGTCTTTGGTCCTCCCGTGAATGTCGCGTTTTGTCCGGCTGTCTATCCATATACCTCAGTGAATACGACTACCAGGCTGCCATAGAGACTGTGCATCGGCTGGCAATTGTATGTGCAGCTGATCAGTCCATTCTACGTGGACTGGCGAGCGTTTTGGGACGAATTTATTTGCAAGTGAGTTACCATATGCACAATTGTTTTTCCGCCAGTGATTAATTGGCTCGATAAGGTGGTCGCTGGTGATTGTCATTGCATGTCTTCACATATCGGTCTCCTCTCTTGACTTTTCCTCCTTTGAATCAATCGTGCTTTCCACCGTCTGCTGAACTATGATCTACAGGCAGTTTGGTTCAGTTAGCTCATCGAGAGTTCCACTTACTTTCGTCGCCTTGTCTGAACTTATAACTTTATGCAACTGCTTTTTATACTCTGTTTACACTCCCAAGTTATTTCATCCCCCTGTCTTTCTGATGCTGTCGAATTGCCGCCCTTCGATCTAGGCTGTGGCCTAGCACTTGCGTCCGCGGGCTCCGTATGTGCTCATGGTCTCTTAATCAGACTGCGAACACCGAAGTGCGGTGGGTCCAGTTGCCACGACTCACATCGCAAGCATAACACTAAATAACAACGGCTAGATTGTGGGGTTAAAGGCGAATAGAATGTAACGAAAATGGAAACAAGAAGGAAATGCATTGAACTAACCAGAATAGAACGAAAATTAACAACTAGATGAAAGAAACTGAATGCAGCAACACTAGTGGCTGCGTGACTGCGCCATGTCAGATACGGTCTCTAACCATTAGACCAGACCGAGACTCCCATCCACGAAGACGACACCCATCCGCATGACCAAGTCTCTCAGTCAATTTGTTCATTCCACTATGCTACGTCATGGACTGGCCATCTCGCAGTCCGTCCAGCTTGGTACACCCACGGCGTATAATGCACGCCGAAGAATCCGGTCAACTGGCATACGTAGGACATGGTCTAGCCAACGCAAGCGAGTAAGATTCAGCAAACACTCGAGTGAGGCACAAGTAGGCTTGTTGCCAAAAGCCAACTGATGAACCTCAATATTGCTCACCCGGTGTTCCCACCAGACGTGATCAATTCTCCGCAAGCATCGGTGCTCAAACACAGCCAAGCGTTTAATATCTTCGCCGCGAACTAAACAGGTTCCTGACTCATACAGTAAGACCGGCCTTACCGCAGCGTTATCCCGCCGTCTTCGTAGATGGTTGAGTCTCTGGAAAGCCACACGGGCCTTGCTGTTATGCGAAGTAACTTCCTCAGTGATGTAACCACCAGAGGTGATACAGCTACCAAGGTAAGTGAACCGATCCACCACTTCCAGTGGTTGTTCGGTGATAGCTAGAACCGGAGATGTATCGGTGCAGTCCTGCTGCGGTGCTTTGCACTTTGAAGGTGCGAAACACATACCGCAGCGTGCGGTGCTAATCGACAGTCTATCCAGCAGTGTTTGCATAGCCACTGCGTCGGACCCAAGAAGAGCTATGTCGTCCGCATACTACAGGTTTCTCAGCCGGTCACCTGATAGAATTTCCACTCCGGTAGCGTCTGAAAGAACCACGTCACGGATGACCATTTCAATAATAAAGTTGAAGAGGAAAGGAGATACATGACAACCCTGGCGAATCCCACTTGTCGTGGTGAACTCAGGAGACAGTTTCTTGTAGACCCCTACTCGGCCTCGGCAGTCACGGTAAAGAGACTTAAGAATGGAAAGGAATTTAGCTGTCACGCCCCTCATGGATAGGCAGTGCCACAATCTGGCGCGGTCAACAGATTCGAAGGCGACTTTCAAATCAAAGAAAACCACAATTGTCGATCGTCTGTATGTGTGTCTGCTCCAACACTTGGCGAAGAGTAAATATGTGGCCGATACAACCACTACCAGGGCGGAAGCCAGCCTAGCTTTCAGCGAATCAGTTTTCAAGGAGACCAGTAAGTCGTCGGAGAATGATAACTGTGAGGACTGTGGATACAATGAAAACAAGGCTGATGCCTCGACGATTTTCGCACGAAGTAAGCTGACCCTTTTTGAAGATGGGGAAGATATTTGACAGTCGCCAGTCTGAAGGAACCTCTTCACTGTTCTAGACCGTGTTAAATAGAGTAGTGAGTCCAGTCAACAAAGGTCACCACTATCTTTCAGCAAAGATGGAGGTAGGTCGTCGGGTCCAGGATCCTTGTTTCGTTTCAACGCGGAAAGCTCATGTCGAATCTCTTCCGAAGTGGGAGGTGTGAGATCTGCTTCCCACAACGGCTCAGGCGATTCGGCAAGCGGCGAATTCGTCGCAGGCCTGCTAAACTGCTCTTCAAAATGTTCCGCCCAACTGTCTAATCGGCGACGCTGAGAATGGATTGACCGCACATTTTTCTCAGCTATTTTCTCGCTAACGGATGGCTTTCTCGGGCCCGTGTTCCGGATGAGCTGAAATAGTCCTCGGCTGTTCCAAATAGCACTGGCTTTCCCCGTCTCACGGGCGCTTGCGACCCACAAACGTTCCAGGTCGATTAGCAATCCCTTTCGGTGCGTCATTTCAGAGAGTTACGGACACGCTGAAACTCAGTGTCCATTGGAATTTGTTTCCGTGCTTCGATCAAGTTGGTCAATACCTCAGATCCATTGGCAGTTACAACGTCTCAACTTAGGTGCACAGCATGCGTCAAAGGCGTCCTTCATGGCACATTTGGGATGATTCCAGTCAGCGTTCGGTTAATCAACGCCATTCATCACTGACAATTGGTGGGCCAGTTCGTCGGGATATTGTTGAACTGCAGATTGTGAGTTCAACTTACCAGTAAGAAGGTTAGAAGATGAACGCTTCTTTGAAGTACGAAGAGTGGATGCTAAGCGTGTGCGCACTAAAGTATGGTCGGAATCCTGGCGCGTACTCCAAATTGACCGACGGCCTTGGACTGATGGTAATATGGTCATTTTGGGTCCAGGTCATTGAGGGATTCGGTGAGCACTAGGTGATGCAGTGTGAACGTTTGTGCTGGAAAGCAGTGCTGCTGAGGTAAAGGTTGTGATCGGCGCACAGTTGCAGGAATCGATCACCATTGTGTGTTCGGCGTGCATCGACTCCGAAACGTCCTCTCAGGTGCTGTTCAGAGTCTGAGAGACGACCCACTTGGGCATTCATGTCACCAGCAACAATCACGATGTCGGTATTCTTCGCCATGCGAAGAAGAGACGAGAGCTGTCGATAGAAATCGTCTTTGATACACTGAACTGCATTCAGTAGGGACATAAACTGAGGCGATGAAAAGACACCTTGGTTTCAGACGCGATTTATTAACTCCACTAGTAGTTCAAAATCGAACCGCGTACATGCGGATGTTCCCCGGTATCCAGTCGTGTAGATTGCTTTCAGCATGTTTGCTGAGGGCAATACCAATACCGCAAATACCTTGATCCATTGACTCGGTATCGCCAGGGATGCGAAGAGTGTATACAGCGTCGTCAGACTCGGAACCAGGGAGTCGACGATTCGTCACAACGCTGTTATCTTGTATGCATGTTTCGGAGACACAGCAAACATCAATACCAAAAGAGTGAAGAGTAAGAGTCAGTGCTGCCTGATGGCCGATCTGACCTAGAGTGCGGACGTTAAAGGAATCAATGTGAAATGAAACTCTAGGTTTGCTGGAAGAGCTGTATGTATCGATGGCAGCAGCTGTGAGGTCAGTGGCAGTCTGTTGCTCAATAGACGGAGAAGAGAAGAGGGGGAAAGAAAAACAAGAAGAAGTAGAAGAGAGGGAGATTGTCGACGTGGTCGAGGGCAGATGATACTCTCCGGCTGTCCATTCCGAGAGAACGGTTTTGATGGCAGTTGAACTGTTCGCTGAGCTTGGCAATTTCGTTGCAGACGTTTCGTCACCAATCGAGATTACATCATCAGTGCATAGTTGCGTGGCGTGCGGTAGTTTAGAGGAGCCTCGGTGAGAGTGAGAGGGGTTTTGTTCGAAGTGACCTGCCTCTAACTTTTGACTCAACAGTCTGCCCTGCAGGGCAGTGGGGTATATGTAGTTTCGCTTGGAGGACTCCACCCGGAGTCTTTGGTTCAAGAGCCCGACCTACAAGGCAGTGGGGAGCAAGTCCAGCTCGGGAGTGTGGTTACAGCGACCCAATGGGACCTGCTTGAGACCTGTCACACACAGCCTTTAAAGATTCAGAACAGTCCACATATGTTTTACGACCGTATTACGTTATGCACCTGAGACCACGGCCAGCCGCAAGTGGCAGTTGGCAGGTTTGCACCAATTTGACCAGGGGCTGCCTGGCTTGAGGCGGGCGGTGGCAAACCATTGAGCACCCGAAGGTGCCCTCCTACCGTCAGACAATGCGTGACGCTCGTGCTCTACGTCAATCGAGCTGTGAGCTTATAACCTGTAGACCTGTTATCTCCCATGGCTAGATCTTAGAGGAAGAGGGCCATCGACCTCTCCCCAACATCTGAAGAGTATCGGGTTATGAGGCTGAGTTAGTTTGACCCCTAACTATTGACATGTCTGGTCTCAATGGCTCTGAAGGCACCCAGCATAACTCAATAGGTCACAGAAGTACACAAACCACCGCACAACGCTAAGGTCCAACCTCCTTGCGATGGACGTGACAGCGGATTTTACTCGAACGTTGCTCAGAGACCTAACACATCTTCGTGTTAATTGAGGTTCCTCGCAGCCAGCTTTCAAATCAGATGGTCATCCACATATCCGGGAAAGCACTAGACTGCAGTTTCAGCCTGTTGGACATCATAGGTAATGCGCATCCATCGGATCCATCAGGATTCGAACCCATGACCAACAGCGGCTTGAACCGCCAGTCAGCAGCTTATGCCACTGGGCCACGGGGGACAGCATAAGCTCCTGACTGGCGGTTCAAGCCGCTGTTGGTCATGGGTTCAAATCCTGATGGATCCGGTGGCTGCAGTCTAGTGCTTTTCCGGGCATGTGGACGACCATCTGATTTGGAAGCTGGCTGCGAAGAACCCCAATTAATTATATCAAAATCCCCTACTCATGAGAACATCTTCGTGCGTCGGTCGTTTTTTTCCAGAACACTCTTAAGGCCATTATGTACGAAATACCCAGTCGCTTGCTTCAAGCAACTTCCCTCCGCAGTGCCTTTGCCTCGTTCGTTTAGGACTTCGGAATCCGGCTTTCTTTCAGGTCCTTAGTTTGGGGCTATGAAGCCACGGTGTTTCCTTAGTGAACTAAGCTTGTTTCGGTATGGTGCAACAAGGCTTGTAAACCCGAACTTAGCTACAGACCATTGCTCGCAAATTAATGCTCCCTGTGCATACGTTCGGGTATTTTTGGAATGTGCGGATATCATCTGTCACGACTAGGGTTTGCAGTCCAGTCTTTTTGCTCTGATAGACATCGACGGTCAATGAATCCGTCAGCCGCCCACTTTAACCGATAGGCTCTTTGCATTTGTGTCCAAGTGTTGGCTTTAAGATCTGCCGCTCATCCAAATTGTCACATGAAATCATTTCGATGTTTCGGAGTATCTATCGTTTGGATGGATTCTTGCACACAATCTTATTTTGAACCATGGCTGACTTCAATTAGATTTCTTAATGACTGAGCCCTTGTCTAAAACACTGTCCCTCACAAATAGATTCGTCCTTATTTAAGTTGTTCAGGGAGAACAAATCGCAAACCCGATTTAGATTGATTATCGCAATCTATTCGTCCGCGGAGTTCGGTTCTATTTTGTCTATCAACAACCACTGACGTGCGGGTCCCAACCGCTTGGCGATCTCTATCAGAATACTTTAAAGACCGATGCCATCGTGGAGCGCTGTGCTGCGAGCGAACAATATCTATCCTTTATTTCATAACGAAGCCTGTCGCTCTCTTTTCTTGCTAAACCGTCCAGATAATCTTTCTTCATAATATGCATGAGTCCCTTTATCCCGCATTCTTTAATCGCTTTATCCTGCTACCTACTGTTTCAGGAACGCAGAAACATAGCTAACCCAATGAATCGAGTTCGGGGACTATTTGAAATAGTGTTGGATTTTATTGCAATCAATTTAGCTTACCGTTGTCACAAGTCGACTGGTCTAGGTTTGATTGTGAATAATCGTTGCGTTACTGTCAGGCAATCTTCGGTGCACATCTTTTTGTATATTTCCCATTGCATGCTCGCTGAACTCCCCAAATTTGCCCTCTTTTCCCCTCAGCACTGTCTTCTATACTTTCAACGCACACGCCTCTTGACTTTGCGTCATGCTTAAGCCTGTTTCGCTTAGACCGACTTTATTACCACATTCCGGAAGCCCCACGTAATTGGAGTGGTGCAGCATGATGAAACTACAGTAGCACAATTTTAGCAGTGGAGTCCAAACAATTCGGATTTGATAGAGACCGCGGAGCACCGATCGAACCGACTACCAATTCAACGTCAAAATTGCGGAAGTTTTCGCTCCTTCTCATCATATTCTTTCCCATCGAATGCCTTCTTCGCCACAACTGTTATCTTTTAAGCATCAATTTTTTAGAGCTTAGCTTTTAGTTCGATCTTTGTAGTTTTTACAGGTCGGTAACACTGTACTTTGACAACACCCTTCCTCAGGGTAGCCGACTCCCAAAAGATTACGGTATTAAATGTCCACTTTTCCTAGTGCCACCAGTCAATGTGATCGACTCGTGCAGTCTCCCTCGGGTTTTGACCCAGCGCAAAAATGCACGCACGTGCTTGTGTCATTGCACTGTTACAACATCCCACTTCAATGCCCTCCCTTGCTTTTATTTCTGCCCACCTGTTAGATGGGAGATTTGGAGACGGCTAAGACATATTTCGCTCGGGCCGTTTCCACACTGGAACATAAAAACAGTCCACAGTTGTCCACTCAGCTGCTGTTCCAAAAGTACGTATCTCCAGTGAGTTATTCGTATCCCCTTCCACGTCTTACTTCCGTCTCGCGTTTTTCAAACACTTCATTGGATGCGTTGGAGTGGTCTCTTAACAAGTCGGGTTTTGACAGTTCTGCTTCCCTTACAGTGCTCTGCGGCTTCCCGTGCAGTTGTGTGGGTACTCTAGTCAGCAGCGCGCGCAAATTAGCTTTTGACACTTGTGCACCCTGCACTAAAACGGCAGCTGGGAATTTAATAGTGAACATTTATCGATGCGTCTGTGTTTTCTAACCCATGGCTACATTATCCACTTGTTTTAGTGCGTTGCTGTCTCTTGGAAAAGGTGACTACGAGGAGGCGAAAAAACATTTTCAAGAAGTACTGTCGCTTGATCCCACCAACGTGGCAGTGAGTCCTTTGTCCTTAAATCTATCAACGATAATTACTCATTTTCTGGAGGATTTAACCTTTTGAGTCCTGAATTAATTTACCATTAGCTCGACATAAACCACAAAAGTTTATTCCACACACTGTAGAGCAAAGTATCGAAGTTCTGGTCTTTACTTACTTGTTGACAGAAGGCCATTGTACATATCCTCGCGAGTACCGGCAGGAATGACGCTTACACTGAATCAGTATTCCAATTTAAACAAAGTGCTACTTATAACTACCGCCAGGACACAAACGGGTAATCAGTTCGGATGGATTGTCAGTTGAATTGTCTCACAGCGCCTGACTTCATCTGCTTTCAAACCACATCCCTTCTCGTAAATTTACTTACTTTGTCGCTCTTATTGCTCTCCCACTACCGCTGTGTCGCTCAGTTCCATCAAGCTGTTTACTGCCTAGAGCAATGATTCCCAACCTGGGGTTAATTACCTCCAAAGAGGTACATTGGGATTTTACTAAGGGTAAAGAATTGGATCACCGCTCATTCATGAAACAAAATTGTTAACAAAATCATCTATGTCAAAGCCTCTAACTAACTACCTAATCACTAATGCTTGGTCATTAGTGACAAATAATCAGTGATATCTTAGTGAGTAGACCATTTCTGGTAATATATGTTTTTGCTTAACATATGAATACAAGCCTGAAACGCAGCGCAGCTAGATGACGCGTCTATCGGTTCGATTGTTATTCGTTGGAGTCAGGCAGTCGTGCGCCGCCCAGTGACCAATTCCTGCAAGTGATGTTGATGTCACCGATTTCGCTAGCTTTGGACATATCATGGCTTATGTGAGCGTAAAGCAAAAGCAGATGAATGAATTAATTGTACACTTTATAACATTCATAAGAATGCGGTTATTTTAGAATGTTTACGAAAATATCACGTACGTTACAGTCATCTGCATCAACTCTCGTGAAAAGTAAAATGTAGCAAAACTGTGGAGAACTACTTAATAATTTAATTAATATAATTCCTTGGACTTCGCGAAGACAATAGATGTTGGAAACACCAAACTAGCAACAATTTTGGCAAGGATTGGTGACGATAATCCATTATTATTGTATTGAAAATGCTGATCCCATTCACCGCAACTTACGTGAATTTTCCACAATGGTGAAAATAAAAACAAAGCAAGGGACCGATTTAACTTGGAGCACGACTTACGACATGCATTAACCGAACCTGCATCAAACGTTAGAGAAATTATTGAAACCAAACAATATCAAACGTCTTTTTAACTTACATTACTACTTGATTTAGTAACAAAAATTGTTTAAAGATAGGTGTTTTGAATGATAAGAATTCGTTGACGAATTTCTTTTCCATAATTTAAAGCAAAAACATGCGATAGCTGATAGTTAATTTGTTTTCCAAACTAAACTTTTGTGGGGTAACTGTTTAGATTGAGCCACCTTTAGGGATAAAAGCCAAGTAGGTAGTCTGTAAACCTAAGGTACACGGAAGACGGTTCTAGGGTCATATGCAGTTCCTATGCTAGCGCATCTTAGTAAGACGGCGCGGATGCTTTGAGCCTCTGCATATGCCTTCAAATGTAAGGGCTGGGGCGCCGCACTGTGTATCCGGTGGCCAAACCAAACAGATACCTCATGACTTTATGACGCCAGAACCAATCGACTACGTGGGCGAGTGTGTAGCTGTGCTCTTGAGCAGCAGCTGCAGTCCGGCGCACACCGACAGCATATCCAAGCCTGTGATTAGACGCAAGCAGATAACCAAATGTGGTGTGCCGTATGCGATCCGCCGGACAGAACACTATAGACCACGGTACATGTCAGAACACAGCCGATTGGAGAACTTACATGCTCTTATGATGAAGTACATTTTGCCTATAGATGTATCTGATGACATTCGACGCAGAACATACGCAGTCAACGGCCTTTTGCCTTGATTTTTCCCGTCTGGGTTGCAGCACCAGACATAGAGCACTGAAGGCGGCAGTACAACACTTTGTATGCCCACATCAGTGCACACAATCGTCCCGTGGGGCCACTGGGTGCCCAGTCAGTGAACTGACAGGAGACTGACCAAAAGATTGAGTTGGGTCGGCACTTGTTATCTTCCTGGATCCACACCTGTTAGCCGACGACTTCTATGATCGGAAACCCTGTCGAATTTGGCGCGTTTGGGAATTCGTTGCTGCTCTCAATTTTTTCACCTGGCAGTGACACTGTCTTTTATTATTTTTTTGTTTGTCTATCAGGATTTTTATGTGTGACTTGTATATTTATCGTGGTATCGAAAAACCGTATCCACGAAGAGAACGAATCATATCTACATCAGCAGCATACTTATCGCGTAATTGATGAACGGGCACTATATTCGCACAACCGGCTAACCGTATGGAAGCAATAAAAAGACAAATGGAAATAGTCAAGCTGATACATTTATTGCCGAAACGTACAAGCTCGTTAAGATAACGGGCGCCCAAAGAAAGACTGTCTAGGAAGAGGAAAGAGAGTGCTCGGGAAACGAAATGATGTGGCGTTCGGTTCACGTTCCGGGTGTATCTACATAAACAACAGTAGTCAACATGCGACAAACAAACTGTCTAATTTTCCTGGATACGATTGAAAAGAAAATTTAGTACTCTTTTACACATCATACGGGGAAATCCTCAGGTCTCTACATGCTCATGTATGCAAGAAATGTCCAAGTTTTGGGAATAAATCTTTCGGAGCGTTTCTTTTCGTATTCTATCAGATCCTCAGAAACATTCGGTAGAAACATTCCGATGTGTGGCAGGGATCATAATGCTTGTGAGATAATAAAATGAAAACAGCACAGGTTTGGGCTTATGGCAGAACACATTTGTTGGACGAGTTATCCTCGTGTAACTTAGACTCCATAAGTTGAGTAACGGGACTAAGATGGGAAAAAAGAAATGGAAAACTCCAACTGGTATTCCCCCATAGCTCTCTATGGACTATACTTCTTTGGATACAATAACCTAGCAGGTTGCGAAAATGTGCGCCGATCAGGATGAGATGTGTAACACACTGAACGAGCTGAACCTTCCCAACCCGCATTTAAAAGTGGAGAGGTTAGGGATTACGCTCTCAAGACCCTAGTCATCATAAACAGTATTACATTAGCCATTTGAACTGATGCTTCGCTGCCATACAACCATAACGACCTACGGACCGAAGAATAATAAGAGGGAGAGAAGGGGGACTTACCGGAAAATCGTAATGCCCTAAGCAGACATGCAGGGTCAAGGCGCCTACACCTTGTATCAACAACATACCACCACAAACAGCTGGCTATCATACAAAGATAAGGCGGCGTTGGCAAGAGCTTTCTTGAGGCTTTCACTGCCCCGCGTCATAATCAACCAATACTCCGCAGATAACTGAGCACCAAACACGTTAAACGGGCAGCGTGACTAAGAGACGGCAGCAGACATGCCATTGGTGCCGACTGCGAGCCATGTCCTGTAAAGTCTCGATCCAGGCACAAGGCGCGTCAAGTGGGCTACAGCCTGAAAGGCGAGATGGACCGACCGCACCCAGTTTGGTCGTCAGTGGCTTCATTTCTCGCTACCAAGTCAACTTTCGTCCCCATCGAGCCTTGCGTCACTCTCATGGAGCTGCGCGCTGCGATTTTAGCTGGTCCAATTTCAACGAAAATGAAAAAGAATACTATTCAGTATTGCGCCGGTACACAATATCAACGCTTCACTGCCGCGCAATCATCACCAGGCGCATATAGGCTAAGGATACTATGAGGGTCGCCCGGTCACTACGCGAGCTCGAACCCACGCCCTCGGATTACAAGACAGGCTTGTGATCCTTAAGGTTTCAGCTCCTCCCTCGTACTTGTTTCTATTCTGCAGTCTAGTCTCATCAGCGCCTTGACAAGCAGCACTGTGAGGTACTGGGTAAACAAGCACACGTGATAGGTAAACAAGACACTATTACGATACGATGACGCGCGGGAGAGCAATTTTGAATTTCGTACGCGTAGAAGAGAATGAGAACGTTTTTGAAGAATCAATGCGAAATGGATGAAATCGGTCAGTTAGTACCTTAAAAAATTTATTCCAGGCATCAAGAGCTTCTTGCTGTCAACGCGAAACGGAGATGCACCGCATTATGATTATTACCTGGAGAGAGACAACACGTTTACATAGGTATTGCAACTGTCTCGAGTAAATATTAAGTCCAGGCTTTGTTTGGTCCTCCGAGCTGAGTAATTTAATGGCAAACCTTTCACCACTTCGCTCAGTTGCACCTTCGTTGCACGGCTGCGTAGAGGATAATCTCACGGAAAGTGTCGTCGGGCTGTACTGTTTGAAATTCGCCTCATCGATCCGTGTCCCGTGACCTCTGTTCCTTCCATTTTCGGCCGCCTATTTTGATGCTTTCTCAGCTGTAGGTACACTGGATCGAGGTCAATGCGGAGGTTCACTGAATTCTCCGTAGAGAACCATGCCTCGAGGAATTCTCTTCCTTTTCTTGTCCCTCCGTGCGCCAGAATTTCCGTGTTGTCCCAGTTAACGTTGTGTCCTTCCTCATCGAGATACGCTGAGATCTGTGACGATGCATAATGGTATCGTCATGCACGCTTGTGCTCTTGTCCAGTATATTATTACCACGACTTGCCGAACAACTGGCTGTCTTGCCGAACAATCTCCTCGTGGTGCCAGCTGGGTGGTTCGGGTTTTCCCGTTCCAGAAAATGGTTTGGCAGCAGTGTTCCAGGATGTAGTGGGTTTTCGCCTGGTAAGCGTTCTCCCTATAACAAGCCACAAGTGTCTGTTTAACAACACTGCGACGTGGCGGATGTGACTCGCCACTAAATAAAGTCACTGCCCCTTGCCCCTCCCTGAGAGGCATTGTACTTCAAGGGTACGTTGGGTCCCTGGTTCTTCACGGACCGAAAGCCATATGAACTATCTATTTGGTAACCGGTTCCCAACAAGTTGCGATGCCTTCACA